TTTAGAGCGAGAATCTGGAGTTTAGTGGCAGGCAGCTAAGACATATGCGCTTGGCGATCGACATAACACAGCGAATAGCCTTCACGAGATAAATGAGGCACACAAGGAACTCAGCCCAAGAAGTAAGAAATGGGCCTAAAATTGAACGAACGAAGACGTAGGAATCAGTATCCTTGCGATCAGATTAGCTGTAGATAGTGCGGACTTGGATGAAGTTGACAGCGATGTTTATTTTGGCCAAAGAGTAAACAAGTGCTGCAATCTCCAGCCAAAGCTTGCATGTAAAAGGACTGTCGATTGGTGAAAATTCCACACCAGCATCGATGTTCTCAAAGTTTCGAACCGGAAGAACCGTGGTTGGTGACGAAAGTTGAAGAGCAAGCATTGGCTGTGACAGAGGGAGCAACGGAAGTGGCTCCTGGCCTTTGTAATCACGTAAACAGTCAGGTTCCCCGTTAGAAGAGCAGCATATAGGATATGGGTACGACCACACGAGAAAGCAAAATTCAATGGGCAAAGTATGCTGCTGTCTTTGCCGACAGCTGATAGACGTCGCTCCTCAGTGAGTGAAACTCGCGAAAAAATACACGACAGCTTAGGCACCTTTTGAGGATTTGCACACGGACACACACACACACACACACACACACACATACACACACAAACAAACAAACAAAACAAGCAAACACACACACACCAGCACACACACACAAACACACACACACAAACACACACACATCGAGCAAACAGTGCTAATTGGTGGAAAAAGACCAAGATTAAGGGATTTAGCATAGGTGCGCTCAATCTCTAAAGGTATCCCAGTAGCATTACTCGCATAGGATTCCAGTAAAAATTGTTTGGCCTGTTGCTATTCAAAAGGAAAAAGTAGACTTGCTGTGCTTGCTTGTGTTAATGATTAAAGTTTATTGTAGGTTTTGGAAGCAGGCAATTGGCGCGATAAAATTCTGAAAAATAATGCAACGAGTTCAGCGGGAAAGCCTATTAGCGCTATGATCTCTGATCGTACCAGCCCAGCAGCAAAAACTTCCGAAGATTCATTCGATGATGATGATATGACGGAAGAGGATCGAAGTTGGTGATTTTTATGCGTTTTGTGCTGCGTAACAGTGTTACAAAACGCATATTGTCAAGGGGTTGTCTGTGTGTGTGTTTGTGTGTGGGTGTGTCCCACATTTTTCCCCACACTTTCAACTCGGGAACCACAAAAACTAGGCGGCTGAGATTTTGGTATAGTGTTCCCCGCCAACGGATGACGCGGCAGATTTAAATTCAGCCTT